CAACTTCAAGATATTCCAAGAAAATTGAACCTTGAGTTCTGACCCTGATTCATGTACGGTGATTATGTTTTCCATAAGAGATGCCTTATTTTCCTTTTGAGATAAATCTTGGTGAAGTGCACGGAAAAACATAATAATACATATGAGTAGCACAATTGGTGTGAAGCTTTGGAAGATAATCAAGGGAATGAAACTATGAAAGGTCGTAGTGACACAACCAGGAACACCAAACTCCATAGAAACACAAATGAAGGTCCCTCCCTAATTTGCTCGTGAAACAGGTCATATGAAGGAAGAAGATGGCGTTTAATATTTTCTCCCAAAAAAACAAAAAAAACAAAAAACAAAGAAGAAACAAAAAATATCATTTAATATTTGTTGTTTATAATAGAAGGTGGAATTGATTTTTGAGGGATTTGATGAAACCATCAATCCCTTTAAACTTCATAATTGATTATATTCTTTTTTTTACTCCAGAAAGAAACAGAGACTCAAAGCTTACATGCTCAATGCTCACGGCTTAACTGTAGAAATCTTAAGTTCATAATTTCATATAGAACTTTTAATAGCCTAAAGATGGCTTTTACAATTTTCCACTGTCAAGTAACCTTGTTCTTTGAAACAATGGATAAAATCATCAAACATCTCTTCAATCCATATAAACTTCATGCCGAACTTCTGCACCTTACATGTGTTGTACTCAACCCGGGGCCTCTCCTCACAGTTAAAGCTGGAAGAATATATATCATAAGATTATATATGCCTTGTTAGATATAGTAGTATTTGGGTATCTGCTTTCCTTTATTTTAGTCTCACATCAATTAGGATTCTAGAGTTTCTCCTCTTACTCTTGTATATAAAGTCCTCAATACAATAAATAAAATTATCTCTTCTCTCCCAAAAGCTCTACTCTTATCATGATACCAGAGTCATCCTCTTGATCCCAGAGAGACCTCTTTCTTCTTCATCTAGATCAAGCCGTTGAGGGGGTTTTGTCAAAAATTTTGTGCTTCCCCTGGGTGGTCTCGACACCCGATTCAACCTCAACACACCGCCCCATCGCTTACAACCTCTCATCATGCTCTGCTCATCCTGAACCTCCGCTTTGACACTAACTTCAACAACCTCTTCCTAGCCACAACTGTTACCAAGGATAACCCTTCTTGTCATCAATCAGCTCCAACCAGGTTGGACGCACTAGTCATCATCGTCATTGTGGCTTCAACTCTCGTCCAAACCCTAGCATTGCAAACCCTCGCATTGCGAAATTCTAGTAGTTCCTCCGTCGCAAACCTCTACCTGCCAACATCACCACTACTCCGAGTGGTGTAATTGCACAAACTATCCATTGCATGCACATAAGGTGTTCGAAGAATTATCTTAGCAAGATTTCTCGCTTATTGGCTAGCCTCTGGCCAAGCTCTCTCTAGTCAAGCACTTTCCACATACTGATGCTTGCAAGATCCGGTCATCGTGTCTCCTCTCGTAACCACAGATCCGCCCTCTCGCGACCACTGCGTGTGACCGCCAATCACCACTGGAATACTGTATCTCGCTACTTACAAGATCCAGTCGCCGTGACTTCTCCCGTGACTGCAACTCTGCCCTCTCGCAACCGTGCATGACTATCGATCATCACTGCAATAACATGATCTCACCGCTTGTAATTCCAGCCACCGATGTGCTCCAATTCAATCACCTCTCGCCAAGCCATGCCAACAACCATCTATGCAAAATTTTACTCATTTTATCCTAACTCACGGTTCTCATCCGTGAGTTTGACAGGGATGTTAAATATAGTAGTATTAGGGTGTCTGCTTTCCTTTATTTTAGTCTCACATCGATTAGGATTCTAGAATCTCTCCTCTTACTCTTGTATTTAAGCTATTCAATACAATGAATAAAATAAGTCTCTTTTTTCTCAAAAGCTCTATTCTTAACATGCCCATTATGGTAATACGTATTACAATTAAAATTGAACAGAAGTTTCAATAAATGTATTTTTAACCCTGCATGGAAACTAGAACTTTCTAACGCCAGAGTGTGCTTCCTTAACATAGCAACAAATGCGTGGAATATGATCTTATATGATCTATTAGTATTTGAGTGTATATTGGAGAAATTATATGCATAAAGAGAGATGAAAAAGTTGATTATGAGCAGCACGAGGTTTTATTATGAGTTGTTTAACACCTAATGTCGGGTGTGAGAGGGATGCTCCTTATAAGGGTTGTAAATTAATACCAGATAAAAATTTGGTGTATAACATGGGTAATGAGGGGGAAATAATTTCATGATTATCCCTGCACGATCCCAACTTTCTACTTTTGAGGTGAACCTTTCATACTTCATAGAGTGTAAGTCAATTATGGGTGGTAGCTTATAAACCCTTTTGTGAGATTATGTATTTCAATTCTTAGCATATTACTATAAACAATCTCAAATTTTCTCATTATTTTGCAAATGTATTCCTTTCGCAACTAGCAGTTGGTTGAGCCAAATCAATGATATAAACTTCAAGGGAATCAACCTCACAGAACAAATTGTACTTAATACATCTATTTTAGCACATCGGATCCAGCACCAAATACCCATATTACTTGATTGAATCTGTAGATTCTATGCATAAGATGAGTTCGTATCTCTTTGTTGACATAGCTCCCTCGTGTCATCACCATTCAATTTTCAAATTTTCACTAACAGTTGATTGAATGATAGGAGGGTGTACTTTGATAATTCAAAAAACAGTCTCATTGATGTAAAAATGTCAAAGGAAAAATGAAGTATGTGACTTGTCAAAATGTAAAGCTAAGTATGACAAATTGCACATCCCAAAGTGAGAGAAAGGTATAAGGTGAGATAACAGGGATCCACCCTCCTTCCTCTAAAGATTAAGGGAGCTCCTCCTACAACGTAGTTACTCAAAAAATAAAAAATATCATCCGAGCTATATGCATGTGACCTACTTTTCCTTCCCAGGTTTCTTTCCTACAATAACGACAATAACAAAGTCTTTATCTCAATATTCCAGGATCGACTATATGAATCCTAGTTTTCCATTCGGTTAAGTTGAAAAGTATCTTCTCCGCATGTCAGACATTATCATATCCTTCTTAATAGTTTCTACAATTGGCCTACCTCTAGCCTTCTTCCTCCGTTAATATAATCGTATTGCTCCTTCAAATTGATGCGTTTATTAGTCCCAATTGCACCATGACTACACCATCTTAAAAATGTTTCACTCTTATTTTATTCTGTAGTACAGGGACAATCTAAAACTTACTACACATGCACTCATTTCTTATCATATCCCTTAGCATATACTCATCGTCCACCATAACATTTTAATTTCTGCTCTTCACTCATCTTTTGCACATTTTGTTTTTAATTGGCTAACATTCTAATCCATAAAACACTATGAGTCTTATAACTATCATATATAATTTTTCCTTAATTCCTAGTGATATTCTACAATCACATAAGACTCAAAAGCACTCCTCCATTTTAACCATCCTAATTTCTGTGGGCAAACCTCATCACCATCCTCAATCTCAACATTGAGACAAATAATTGAACCAAATCACGTAGATGATTACTCTTAATTATTTCTTAGTCGTCAATATGTATTGCATCCTCATTCTTTTCTATAGTTTTACTAAAAGTACATTTCATGTATTCTATGTTCATTCTGCTAATTCTAAATCCCGTAGAATTGGGTTCTTGCTTCCCTCCACGTCTCTACTTTAAAAGTAATTTCTATCCTAGCCTCATCAACTAATACTATATCATCAGCAAACAACATACACCATGAGACTTCATCTTAAATATGCCAAATACGACCGTCCATAAGTAATACAAAAAGATAAAGACTTAGAGCCGTAAGTAATACAAAAAGATAAGACTTAGAGGCACTCTTTGATGTAAAAAAATGGTAAAAGAAAATGATTTTTTTCTCCCTTAATTATTCCCACCCTAGTTTTGGTCTATTATAGATATCTTTAAATTTAATCACATCAATAAACATACTTGATAATAAATAATAAACTTTAATTTTTCACAACTAATTATCAAAATGTTTAGCTCTTACCCAATATTGGAAGATGTTGCCATCTAATTATTGTTCACTATAGTTGTTTGCATAAAAAATTACCATGAAAACTACCATTTTCTTGAAAATTCTAAGTACTAACCTTGATGGAATGCATACTAAGCCATGGATAATGCTTTGTAATAATGACTGCCGCCAACTCACTAGGTTCAAGTGTGGATGAATTATATATGTATGTCCATTCAACAGTGTCATCTTCATATGCTACAATGAGCAACATCATCAATATGAACATATCCTAATCTACCACACAGTGAAGTAATCTCCTTATCTCTTGCAAAAAGATTGTCAGTTGTGAAGTGAAGTGAGGAAAGTGAAGCAGTCACTACTACAAAAGCCTTAATTATTAACGGTTTTTTAATAACCGTTATTAATAGAGCATAAAAGATTTCATGTGAAGTCAAAATTTCATCTGGACGGCTAATAAAAAAATGGGGGGAAGCCATATTCACTTTATAGCCACATGGTTAAGAAAAACAGTAAATATTATTTCATGGTAAACAGTCATTCTCTAAAAACCCTGACCATCGTCCCCAAAATCCATCGGCCGATGTCTCGATCTCCGTTCAACTACTGAGATCTACCCTCGCCCTCCCCTTTGTAATTGATCCTTGCTCCACCAACTCCGATTATGATGCATAGTTATGGTTTCCTTCAAACCTAATACTGATTTAGATAGAATTTAATGTATTTGAATTGGATATTGGATTTTGACAGGACATTAACCACTCAAGATTATGACGGCGCTGGAGCATGCATGGGATCATCTCTATTGCTTGAATATATAACAAATCAGGTTAATTAAGCACAGTATTGTATGATGTCATTAAATACTTTCTAGCATAAGAATTTTTAGCGTTCCTCTACATAAACCATCTTGTAGTTACTTTTTTCATCTATCTGTTTTATTTTCTGTTATCTGATTAAGATTGTGTCGCAACAATTCTTTTGACAGCTTGTACTTTGTTGAAAAATCAGCTTACCAAAGGAGATAATCCCAATGGGTACTCCTCTCTCTTCAATCTAATCAAATACAGATTTAATTTCAGCCATAGATCCTAATGCAATTTGGTTTCGACTTATTAGATGGTGGATTCTAAATGTCAATATGTGCCTTCTTCGCTTACCATATATTTCAAGAATCACATCAAATAAGTAGGAATTTTGAAAATTTATATTCTTTATTTGTGATGAACTCTTTAATTTTCTATTACTTGATATCATGGGATAGGGTCAGTCTGATTGAGGAGATTATAGTATTCGCATTAACAAAGGTATTATTATTAATGTCATTAACCAAGGTATGAACTTTTTAATATTCTTATCTAACAAACCATTGTTGCATATTGCTATGACAAGGGCAACTTTTTTTTTCTTGGAAATAATTGGCATGCATTGGGTCTACAACTTTATACAAAATCAACGTCATAGAACATACATTGCAGTTACGTTGACCTCATACTTCAAATGGGGTTGAGTTATTATTAAAATTATAAGAAGATAACTTTGGTTCTATTGCTTTTCCTTTCAGATATTTATGCATTCATTGTTTTAAATCTTAGTGTCGTTTGGACTTGAGTGGATCTGGACATCCTCAGTAATTGGTAATTTTAGCTCGAGGTAACAATTCCTCCCTAATTTTACTATCATTTTACCTGTCATTAATATCATTTTATCCTTATTGTTAATTTTGAGCATTAACCTAATGTTTATTTTAGAGGTATTCATTGATGACTGATAAGATTTTGTTTGTTAGATTCACTTTACCTAAACCTTTAATTAAGATGAGCAAAATTATGTTTGTTAACAATTAAAATGAAATTTTAACTAAAAATTGAGAGAGATTTAACTATCATTTAGCATTATATTAGAGTGAACACTGTTCTATTATATGTTATATCACATTCTCTGTCAGGTTTATCCAAACTAGCATTTTGCATATACACTATTCATGGTTTTAGATTTCCATGTAATTCTTGTGTCTCCTACGTTTGCTTTAAGATAGGATGGTGCTCCATGGTTTCCATTAAATCTAATGTCATACATTGGTCACTAGAAAAACTTATTGTATCTATATCTACTCAAAATTCAAATATAATGACATGCTTTGTGAGACTAAGATATTTTATACTTCAATCATCTGTTAGTTTCCATTTGTTAATGAAGTGTCGATTGGCCAATGTGGCTCTCTCTTTGCTATTACATGTCAATCTCACTTTTGAATCATGATATTTGAATATTGCAGTTATAGCCGTTTTAGTGATGAAAAATAAACTCCAATCAATTGCAGATAAATGGCCCACATTATGCATAATCAAGTCAGCGTTTCAAGATAATCAGAGGCCCAATTTGGTCGACTCAGCACGCTGACATCTTGCGAGGACAACTCGAAAGGCCTTACGTGTCGACGACTCGAAAGGTATTACGTGTCGTCCCCTGGCTAAGTCGACTGCTTAATCACTCCACTCGGCCGACCTATCGGCCGACACCTTGTGAGGACGACTCAAAGACGGTACTTCTCAACCACCGGAAGAGTAAAAAGACGACGAAATGCCTTGAGCCCCCTCCCGTGCACTGGCAACCAATCACCTCGCAATTAGTGTCATTAAATGCATTATGGAAGCTATCATTTCTCTGCCCCCAATAGTATTTATGACACATTGGATCACGTCAGCACCGCACACCCCCAATCACTTTGTATTAAATACCAAAGTGACATCTCCTCCACTTGTTGGCCGACACCTGTAAAGCAGAGGCTGACATAGCCGCCATCTCATACTCAGCCAAAGTTACCATTCTACCCTTCTGCCATCATTATAAGTACGGACACTATTTTTAATAACAAGATAAGTTCTTTACTACTACTCACTGTGTTTAAGAACTACTGCAGTTCATTTTCACTTCTCCACTCAAGCAACTCACTAACTTGATTGTCGGAGGAACAACCAGGGAACCCAACCTCGTCTTCTTACGATTTGCTACTTGTGCAGGGAAGAATAGCTTACTCCAAAACCAGACATTCGAAGGGTTAGAGGACATCCGTCAACTTAATTACTCCCCTCATTCGACTGTTTGATATCGTACATCAACAACTACCATGCACGGCTTCAAGCATTTCCTTTTAATGACATTATTTTAAAATTTTAATTTCGTATAATTGTGGGCTTTAATATTACTGTATTGCATGTGACAATGCTTGTTATGGACACATCATAAGTATTTATACATAAAGAACTAGACTAAAAGGAGTACTCTACATAATGTTGTTGCCTTCAACTGAGGCATTGTAGTTTGACTTGCAGCTGTCTATTCTAATATCAATTGGTGGTGAATCCCTCACATAGTTTGACCCACATATGCTACCAACATGAGTGCCCTTTGTTGTCTTCCATGCTTTTAAAATGGTATTTTTATTTATTTATTTGCAGAGACTTGGCTTTGAATTATTTTAGTTACAACATCCCACACATAATGTCTTCTTTTAAGGATCTTATTTGTTTGTGAGTTTATTAGTATATTCTTCTTCTTCCAGTAGATATCAACTGAGGAAGAAGTTAGTATGCAAGGTCTTGACATATCATTTTCTTTAATTAACCTATGCAGGATTTTAAGTCACAATTCCCTAGATGGTCTGACTGGAAATGTGTTTATTGACATGCGAAGTCTAGGGCGATTGAAATTCAATTTCACTTTGACATTAGAATTGTGTGCTTTTTCGTATGTAATTGTGTTCAGGTCATTATTGATTTACTTAAAATATCTTTTATTTACTTCTTTGTAGAAATTTTAGTCAGTAGTTATTTGTCTATTTGTTTCCAAATGGTATAATCTGACTGGTATTATTAAGCGTTTCTAATTGATAAAATTTTCATTACAAGATGTTCCTGTAGGTCCATCTTATGATTGAAGATCTAATCATCGCCGGCAGAGGATAATAAGACCATTAAGTAAAATAAAATTGTATTTTATTTCTTTATATTTTATGCAATTGATATGTTGCTAAAATTTCTGGCGTTCAAAAATGTAATGTGAATTGATTGGTTTATCAATTATTCTATACGTGAGTTGATTGCCGATCATTGTAATAAGTTTAATTTGCTATAGTTTTGAGTATAATATTATCTTTCTGCAGTGAATGTGATTTCTATGAAAACAGAGAAAAGTGATGATATCCAATGTAATAACAACCAGCAATGTGGAGTATTAAATTCAAATTCTTAAATCTTTTAGCAATGGTTGTTAACATTATTAATAGACTTCAGCGCCACTTGGAATTGCTGACGTGTATTTTTTAAATTTCTAATGAAAAATACTCTTATAGCAACAGCTGGAACTTTTGCAACGGTTGTATACTGTTGCAATGAGGTAATTACAATGGCCATATTAGTAATAGACTATTTGTAATGGTTTTAACCATTGCTAATCTATTAGAAACTGTTCAAATTGTTGGTAATAGGCCTAATAACAACAGTTTCAACTGTATCTTATAGAGCCTTTTATAGTAGTGAGTTTGGAATCATAGATAGAGGTTGCCATATGTTCATACACCATTGCCATATTTGGGAAAATGTTCATAAACCATTGCCATATTTGGGGAACCGCACAAGCCATGGTGCATGTTCTAGATGTAAACTTGGTCCAAGTAGATTGTGTTAGTACTATTAATGGTTGAGTGGCGAGGGAAGTATGGCTTGAAAGTGGTTAGTTACCTTTGAGTATAGCAAGGGTCCATGGTGCAGTTTCATTCAAGTTGCATGGTAGAATTAGAACAATGACACAGGACGGAACTACAGTTATGAGGTTGATGTTCTTCTTCCCTAAGAAGTCCCATCGCCTTCTCTGCTACAACTTTTGAGACTGCGTACCACGCCTAACAGCACAACTAAAAAAACAAAAAAAAAAGAGAATTTAGTATTTTCTGATTACTTTTTGTCTTTTCATGTAATAGGTTAAATAGCACTTAAAGACCTTATAGTTTCGCTCACTTTGCACTTATATACTCTCATTTTGTTTCTTGTGACATTTGTACAGCCTAAGTCATTTAAAATTGGCACACTGGTATTGTCTACCATAGTTACATAGTATGCTGTGCATAGTGGATTGTGGTATGAAATCTGGTACGTGATTCGTCACTTAGAAAACTTAGATTCAAAGGGGAGTAGCTTTCTTTGGCACACAAGTTCGGTCAATGGTATGTCATAGTCGTAAATCTTTTTTGAGTGCGCTTAAAGTTTTTCAAAGTATATAGTAGATAGCTAGAAAATAGAAAGCTAGTTATGCATTTTAGTTTCATACAAAATACTTAAATACTTCTTTTTTATGGAGTCCGTTTTTTTTGTTTTTTTTATTTTCTTTTCTCATAGTTTGTGCTGGGTTCATGCTTCTGTTTCATGTTATATTAACATATGTATTTAGATATAGTACAGTCATTCGCTCATATATCCAATTGTGCGCCTCCCTTCACTCGATTTTGCACATTGCATTGTGTCTTGTGCTAGTACAATTAGGGATTTTGCGCCCTACATACTTGTAAGTGATGCAAATTTTGGGGAAACAATTCATATACCAGAGGGAACCGGTTCACAAATGTACCTAGAATTAGTTTGTAGGAACTATATGACAGTTCGAGGGGAGGTCAAGGGAATCACGCAACTATGTTGTCTACTATGCAAATGTGAAAATTTTCAACCGAATGTTCCAATATAACACTAACATGCTAATTCATTCTAAGTGTCAAGTGAGAATATTCAGGTGGAAGTTTTCATCTTTGCATAGTAAAGGGTAAGTTGGAAGTGAACCAAATAATTAATAAACAGTTCGGTTATTATTCATCCAATTATCCGATCATATTCGATTCGCTATCTCATTTAACAGTAAATGAATACTTTTTAGTATTCGATTCATAAAAGAATAGAATATAACCAAATGTGTATTCGATTTACTTGGTCATTAAATATTCGTTTATGTTCTAAATTTATTAAATGGTAGATTAGACATTTTTTAAAAGTTTTAATTAGTTTAGATTGAGGCATAGCTTAAATGGAAGAGGCAATTTAGAGAGTATTTGACAAAAATGATGCTTTGGAGGGCATATTTACAAATATATACAACTGTTGGGTGTATATGCAAACATCTCGAAAAGAATAAGAAAGTTAAAAAAAAGATGTCAGTCCCAAGGTTCGAAATATGACCTGCAATACTAGATCTAAACACCCTGACCATGTGAGCTACCAAATATTAGTGAACGATTAGCGAATATCCCGTATATATACGAATTTGAATATGAATATCATTGTCATATTCGACCCAAATTTGAATTCGAATATTGAAAAATTGACCGAATTCGAATTCAAATTCGAAGTCACTGATGTTCATTCCGATTCGATTGTTTTCTACCCCCAGTAGAGGGTAGTGATATGTCAATTTTAAACAACCTAGGGTATGCAAATGGCACAAAAAAAGTGAGGGTATTTAAGTGCAAAGCAAGTGAAACTATAGGGTATATAGGTGCTATTTAGTCATAACAAAATTCTAAATAAATTATGACAAAACCAAATTAAGTACATGAAAAGAACTTATGCTCACCTTAATCTTCTCACATTCTACCATACTGCTCCATGAGGTTTCATCCAGGGGTTCTTTCGGGAAAATAGATGGTCTATATATTGCACCAACTGATGATGATGTGAGAACAACCTTTTTAAGCATTGGATTATTTTTACATGATCGCAATACATTTAATGTCCCTTTTACTGCAGGATCAATAAGTTCAGCCTTAGGATCCGAACGAGGGATAAAGATGACTGGACTTGCAACATGGAAGACACCCTCACACGCCATTACAGCATCATCAAAGCTGCCTTCTTCCATCAGATCGGCCCTAACCAGATGAAGCCTATCCTTTGCTCCTTCTAGTTCTTGCAAGTGACAATTTTCTTGTAATCTACTGCCATCAACAATTAAATAATAAATTGCATGCAAGTATTATAATAAAACCAGTATGGATGAGAATCAGCTGGAGGACATATCTCATGTACCTGGGTTTCCTACAGTTCCTGTTACATGGTACCCTGACTCGAGGAGCCTCTTAACTAGCCAGGAGGCAACAAAGTCATCGGCACCTGTGACACATACTTTGCCCTTGATGTTATTAGATTTGTTTTCCATCTGCTGCTTGACAACTAATACAGTGCTCTGGAATCTCCATCTATTTTCTTCTTCTTTGTCTATAAACAAAGCAGAGGATTATAATTTGAGCCTTTATATCTGTGTGTAGGATGGAAAGCAACAAAGAAAAAGCGAGTGCACAGGTTAAGCCAAGGCTTCACGGGGAGGAACAATAAAAAGGGGGGGAAAGGAAAGAAAAGGTTTAATTAGCCTAACAGTCAACCCATCGCATATCCCATCCTTGCCAGAATACACCAATCAAAAATACAGTTTGAATTTCTTAACACTCGTCATCTACTTTACTCTCCAGCTATTATTTCAATTAATAAGATTAGCCTAATAATCAAAACCTGTGACTTCTGACTTTATCAAAGAATAACTCTAAAACAATAGAAATAGTTTAGAACTTAGAGAAAAAAATAGAAACATACTGCTGTTTTGATTCGGGCACTATTCCCATCTTACTCTCTGCCTTAAGCCAGTTTTCATTCCGATTTCCAACTGTTATCACCACTAACATGATTGCCCAAAAATCAAAACCCGTTGCTTTGTTACTCGCAGATTAGTAGTAAAGCTAATGATTTAAATAAGAGAAAACATTACTAATTGGATAGTTCCAAATCCAAGTCTCCGAATGTTATATTGATCTACCATCTAGGCCGATGACAATGGTAAAGGTTAGGAGGTGATTTGTGGCAAATCCCATGATTATGTCCTATAACTAGAAAACGACTATTCATGTCCTATACTTTTCTATTCTTAGTCATTGTTTTGATCCTGAATCTTATTATCAATATTAAAATCAGCCCAATAATATCAAGATCAACTAGCTGCATATATATAAATTTACATTTCATATTCTACATAAACGCGAAACTAACATGCCATCTATAATCAAAAAGTTCTGTGGACATGCACTTCAACAACTTGATACAAAGATTAAAGCTTTCGGTCGCATTGATGATAAAAATTGAAACCTTAGAACGTACCTTGGTCCTCTTGAACGATGGTTCAGTGTCCCTTTTCTTTCCCTCAAAAATCTTGGAAATCCACAGCGCGTGCAAATAATAGAAGCACAAACACAGGTCAAGGTTAGGGTTTGGCCTAGTGAAAATGGAGATTGAAATCGACAATGCAAATAACCCATTTTCTGTTTTAAGAAGAGACAACTCGAATCTGATGAGCTGTTAGGGTTAGAATGTAGAATTTGGAACTCTGATTCAAGCTCTTCAAAATGTTTCCCCACTTATGTTCTTTTTTTTTGTTTTTTTTGTTTTTTTTTTTTTTTTTTTTTTTTGGGGGGGGGGGGGGATTGGTCTGTTTAGGGGCTGTTTGATTGGTTTCATAAAAACCAAAAAAAAGAAATCAGTACCAGAAAATCAATAAAATAATATTTTTATCCATTTTCATCCCTAAAACTCACCCATAAAATCTAATAAAATATTATTTTTATCCTCCAACTCATCTCATTTCATCTTCTTTCTTACATTTAAAAATAAACCAAACACAAGAAATGTGTCGCATCATCCAACTCATCACATCTCATCTTATTCCATTTTTAAAAATCACACACATCATCCAATATTATTGTGACAACTCATCCCATCTCATTAAACATTCCTTTCCATCCATTTCTTCAAAAAAAAAAACAAGAAATTGATTTCCTTAAGTATGTGTCACATCATCCAATAATATACCTCCAACTCATCTCATCTCATCTATTTTCTTATTTTTACAAATGAACCAAACACAAACAACCTCAAAACATCATCCAATAATATACCTCCAATTCATTTCCTTATTTTTTTTTAACCAACCAAACAACCTCAAAACAATTTTTTTTTTAAAATCACTCACATCATTCAATAATAAGGTGACAACTCATCTTATCTCATCTCATCTCTTATTCTATAATTTCCTTCTTTTTTAACCCAACCAAACAACCTCAAAACAATTATTATAGGAAATAGGTTTCCTGTTCTTTAATTTCTAAGTTTTTTTTTGCGAAACGAACGGACCCTTAGGGCCTGTTTGTTTCGGAAAAAATGCAGAAAGTGGGGGAAAATGAGGAAAAGAAAATTGATATAGATGAATTTTGGTATTTTCCTTCATTTTCAGATGTTTGGTTTGTCAAAGCTATAAAAGAAAGTGGAGGAGAAAATGTGTTGTCACCATATATTATTGGATGAGATAAGTAATTTTTGATGTTTTCCACCACTTTTCTTGTTTAGGTTCTTTTCTTGTGTTTGGTTCATTCTTAAAACTAAGAAAATAGATGAGAGAAGATGAGTTGTCATTATATTATGGGATGAGTTGTCACCATACTTAGGAAAATCAATTTCCTTTTTTTTTTTTTTGAGGAAATGGATGGAAGGAAATTTTTAATGAGATGGGATGAGTTGTCATCATATTATTGGATGATGTGAGTACTTTTTAAAGATGGTAGAAAGTGAAGTAAAATGAGGTGAGGTGAGTTGGATGAATTGATTGATGTGACACATTTTTTGTGTTTAGTTTATTTTTAAAAATAAGAAATGAGATGAGATGAGATGAGTTGTCACCATATTATTTGTTGATGTGGGAGATTTGTAAGGATAGAAAATGGTGAAAGTGAAGAAAAATGATGAAAGTGAAAAAAATGGGTTTTGGAAACTAAAGGAAACGAACCAAACAGGCCCTAAGTGGGGTCAAAAGAATCATCGTTATTTTTTTGGGGGTTTTTTGCACGTATACCCTTTAAATCTTCAATATTCAAAAATTTACTCTCTAAATTTTGGTATTTGCCAAATTACCTCAGAATCTATATATTAGGTCTTTCTACCCTACACCTTAACAATGTTGATTTCTACACAGACTAATATGAAAATATCCAATAATTTCTAATAGATTTTTGCAACATTTTCCGTTTTAAAGACTAAAACTGCTAAGTGAGAGGGGTTAAAAAATCTGTGGAAGTAGGGGTAAGTTTCCAAATATCAAGATTAGGAGGATAAATTTGAAAATTTGGTAAATTTGGGGGATATATGTGCAAAACCCCTTTTTTTAAGAAAAGACAAGTCAAATTTTTATGATGAGACCGGGGGTTTTAAGAAACCTGGTCCAAACATTTCAAAAATTATTATGAGATGAGGGAGGTCTTTGGCCTCCCCCTCATTATCCCTCCATTCACACCCCATTATGGTGGTGTAACACTCCACTAAGTGGGGGTGACTCTTGGGTACTCAACCTATTCACATTGACTAGTATAAATATATATCATAGGCCTTTGGCCTATGGATGGGTTTCAAACACGTTATCAGCACGAAGTGTTCTTGAATCTCTGAGCCATAAAAAAAATATTTCCTTCCTCTTTTGCGCATTGAGATCTGGTTCGTTGCAGCGGGAGCGTTCGACGGATCATTACAAGGAGGCAGCGTTCTACGGATCTTTAGTATCGATCGTCCCTAGATCTTTGATCTAGAGGTAATTACTATAATCCGTAGAATAATATATGGCAGCCGGAAAATTAACAGAAAAAAGAGAAAATTTTGTTACTGTTCACCGAGGGTTACTGTTCACTCGGGAATTTTTCTGTTTATTAAGCAATTTTATTGTTGTTCATCTAATCTAATTGCTTTCATTATTTGTTGGCATAACTAGTAATTAATACTATTAGTTAATTGCTATTTTTTAAAAAATAAAAAAAATTTAACTGTTACTGTTCATTCCGAATATAAAGATTTTACTGTTCATTTAAAACAGTTTTAATTTTATGTTAAAAATGGTTACTCTTCATCCAAAGCAGTTACTGTTCATCCGAGATATAAATGTTCATAGGATTAATTAGTTGTTGATTAAAATTCGGAAAAACAGTTATATAAATAAAAATAAAAAATTACTGTTCACAAAATGTACCTGTTACTGTTCATTTTATCTTAAAAGTTAGAGCATGTACGTTTTGCACTGTCGCCATCAAAGTCTCATGCACACGTCTCAGAGCCTAACTCTCAAAACCTATCCACATGCAACATCTTTAGATTTTTCATGTTTAATAATTACGGAAGGTCCTGAGATCGCTCTGCCGTTAGTAATCTAAACTAACGGTGCGTATGATATGTCTCCTCGTGGCCCACGGCCGTTAGTAATCTAAACTAACGGTGCGTATGATATGTCTCCTCGTGGCCCACGTAATTATTAAATTTTTTAGGTTATATCTAATTATATGCCTGTTGCATATATTATTATTAAATTACGTGGATGTTTAAATAAATAATGTTGTGGTTTTTGGATCAGCCTGTTTGTCACCAAATTTAAATTCCTTGCATTTTCTTTTCCTTCTGAGAGAGAAATTGTAGTGAGGATATAATTGTAAAAAGTCAAAGACCGGTGTATTCCATTGAAGACGAAGGTATTTTTGCAAAATGCAGGGAGCCCCTAGGGTTTTCCAAATTGTATTTTAATTTTATGTTTTTTGTTATCTTTGGACTGTATAATCGGACTTTGGACACTTTTTATTTTTTGGTGACGGGCTGATCCACGCAACATGTTTATTGCATGAATTTTTAATTCCTTATTATTAATTCATGTCTTTCAAATGCATAGATAAAATGGCTAAAATAGCGAGCGTTGATTTCGAAGTCCTTGACGCTGCTGGCAAGAATTATTTGAGTTGGCATGTGGACCTGAAGTTCCACTTACGTGCCCAGGGCTTATTAGCCACAATTTCAACTCCTGCTCCACCGGCTCCGGCCACTGTTACGGGTAATGCTGTAAATAATGCTGAGGTTGCTACTACAGTGATCGTCTCTGATATAGATAAGGCGAAAGCCATTATCTACATCAGGAGACATATTGATCGGACCCTGAAGGCCGAATACCTGACTGTAGAGGACCCAAAGGAATTGTGGACTGCACTTGAGGACCGATACAAACATCAGAAAGATGTGATCCTCCCACGTGCACGTTATGAGTGGGAAAACCTCCGACTTCAGGACTTTAAGTCCGTAGCTGAGTATAACTCAGCACTTCATAATATCACCTCACGCCTGAAGTTGTGTGGTGAAGAAGTTTCGGAGGAACGCATGTTGGAGAAGACTTGCACATCCTTCCACGAGAAGGATGCAATCCTCATGCAACAGTACCGCGAACGAAAGTTCAAAAAGTATTCTGAATTGCACTCCACCCTTCTGATGGCGGAGCAAAACAGAGAATTGCTTTTGGCCACTCATAACCTACGCCCTGCAGGCTCAGCTCCTCTACCCGAAGCTCACATGTTTACTTCCCAGAAGCAGAAGAAAAAGCATAAGGGTAAATTCAACAAGGGAAAAGCCCCTAAGTGGCAGGCCAGATGCCCACCCCAGAAAAACAACCCTCCCCAGAGCAGCAATAGTGAGGGAAAGAAGAAGTGGAAGAAGAAGACCACTGAGCTGTCGTCCATTCCCAAGAACACTTGGGAGGACAAATGCCACAGATGTGGCATGACTGGACATTGGTCCAGAAACTATTGCACTCCGCGACACCTCCAAGATCTGTATCAAGCGAGCTTGAAGTCTCCTGTTGAAACAAATCTGGTGGAAAAGCAGCCGTCTACTCAGTTCATTGCTGATGACTTCGAAACGGATGATCTTCTCGACTAGATCCATATTATCTTTATATGCATTTAAATTCTCATAATACTTTCATCTTTAGTTCTTTACTTTCCATGTAATGCACTTTACTTTTCAATAAAAATAGTTATTTTCTTTAGATTAAAATATTACATTCATGTTATAGATGAAGTGTGAGTGCCTTGTGGACAGTGCCTCGACGCACACAATCCTTCGCGAAAGAAGCTATTTCAATAGCTTATATGATTATGACGATCCTGTAATTACGATTTCGGGACTATCTAACATAATAGAAGGATTTGGTGAAGCAATGATATTGCTCCCAAATAAAACGAGACTAATAATAAAAGATGCATTATTCTCTCCGAAATCTAATAGAAACCTCATAAGTTTCAAGGATATTCGTTTAAACGAATATCACTTAGAAACCAATGATATAAATGAGGATGGGTATTTGTATGTAACTCGTCAAAAAAATGGTTCAAAAACTATCTTAGAACGATTCAAGGGACTCCCGTCGGGTCTCTATCATACATATATTCAACCAGTAGAAGCTAACATGATTGTGCACCAGAAGTGCCATTCTTCGACGAAATTTAAACTTTGGCATAACAGACTAGGTCACCCAGGATCAGCAATGATGCACCGCATCATGAGCCAATCAAGTGGACACAACCTGAAGAACCTGAAGATTCTTCAGAAGGGTGATTACTTATGCCTATCTTGTTTCCAAGGTAAACTGATCACGAGACCTTCCCTTCTGAAAGTGGGATTAGAGTCTCCTAGCTTCTTGGAGAGAATACATGGCGATATTTGTGGGCCTATTCACCCCGAAAGTGGACCATTTAGGTACTTTATGGTACTTATAGATGCATCAACCAAGTGGTCCTACGTGTGCCTTTTATCCACCCGCAACTTAGCTTTTTCAAAGCTATTGGCACAAATTATTAAATTGCGGGCTCATTTCCCTGATAATCAAATCAAGAAATTACGTCTTGATAATGCGGGAGAATTCACTTCACAAGTCTTTCAAGACTATTGCCTAGCAACTGGCATCGAAGTCGAATATCATGTAGCACATGTTCACACCCAGAACGGGTTAGCAGAATCTCTAATTAAGAGATTGCAATAGATTGCTCATCCATTGTTGATGCAATCACAGTTGCCTATTGAGGCTTAGCGTCATGCCATATTGCATGCCGCATCGCTTATCAGAATACGGCCCTCTGGTGGCCATATTTTGTCACCAATGTAGCTTGCTTATGGTGCACCTCCGAATATCTCACATTTGAGAGTGTTTGGTTGTGCAGTTTACGTCCCAATTGCTCCTCCACAAAGGACCAAAATGGGTCCACAGCGTCGTTTGGGTATCTATATGGGGTTTGATTCGCCCTCTATAATAAGATACCTTGAACCCCAGACGGGTGACGCATTTAAGGCACGTCTTGATGATTGTGAATTTGTTGAGGATTCATTTCCTAAACTTGGCACACAGTCCAGGAAGCCTGACGCTTCTAAGACCATTTCTTGGAACACCAAGACTTTGTCTCATTATGATCCGCGTACTAGTCAATGTGAAGATGAGATCCTGAAGATTCTTCATCTTTAGAATATAGTACATTTACTTCCGGATAAATTCACTGATAACCAGAAGATTGTCAGATCACACATCCCTGCTGTCAACACGTCAGCTAGGATTGACATCCCCAAAGATGGATGCAATCCGCCGACAGCAGAAACGGCTGTACCTCAATTGAAAAGAGGACGCCCACCAGGTTCGAAGGACAAAGTCCATCGTAAAAGAAAAAATCCTGGAGAAATAAAGATGAACCCAACACAGGATACTGAGCTCAGACCAGCTTCCTCTCCCCTCCTAGATTCCCCTGAAGAGGAACAAATAGGAGAAACATCATTAAATTTTGTACGTACTGAGGAGGTACTGGACAGAAAAAACACAGTCGTCGACGATGACTTTGCGTTCGATATTGCCGTTAACGTCACTGAATACGACGATGACATCGAACCACGGTCTCTAGCGGAATGTAAACGCAGAGACGATTGGCCAAAGTGGAACGAGGCAATAGGAGTAGAGCTGGACTCACTCTTGAAACGCGAAGTCTTTGGACCAGTAGTCCAAACACCTGAAAGTGTAAAACCTGTGGGATATAAGTGGGTCTTCATCAGAAAAAGAAATGAACACAACGAGGTTGTGCGCTACAAAGCACGGCTTGTAGCACAAGGTTTTTCCCAAAGACCGGGAATAGACTATGAAAAAACATATTCTCCGGTTATGGATGTGAATACCTTTCGATTCCTAATAAGCCTCTCATCTCTGGAAGGCCTAGAAATGCAGCTCATGGACGTTGTGACTGCATATCTATATGGCAATATAGATAAAGATATCTATATGAAACTCCCTGAAGGATATAAAATTCTACCAAAGATAGCAGATAGACCTCGGGACGTCTATTCTGTTAGGCTTCAAAGATCATTATATGGTCTTAAGCAATCGGGGAAAATATGGTATAACAGACTAAGTGAGTTCCTTGCTACGCAAGGATTCACAAATGATAAAGTCTGCCCGTGTATCTTTATAAAAAGATCGGGAACAGGATTCATTATAGTCGTCGTCTATGTCGACGACTTAAATCTCATTGGATCTCCTGCAGAGATAGCTGGGATATCTGAAAGCCTTAAGAATACTTTTGAAATGAAAGACCTAGGCAAAATAAAGTATTGTCTTGGCTTACAGATTAAACACCTTAAGGGTGGTATCCTGTTACACCAATCCACATATACACGGAAATTACTTAAAAATTTTCGAATGGATAAATGTCATCCTCTTAGTATACCAATGGTTGTTCGATTATTGGATGTAAATAACGACCCCTTCCGTCCGCTGGAAGATGGAGAGGAAATGCTAGGTCCTGAAGTACCTTACCTCAGTGCCATTGGAGCACTATTATATCTGGCTAATTGTACGCGTCCCGATATAGCGTTTTCAGTTAACCTACTAGCCAGATACAGTGCAGCGCCCACAAAGCGCCACTGGAATGGAGTTAAGCATCTTCTGCGCTACCTCCAAGGGTCTATAGACCTGGGATTATATTTCCCGAAGGGTGGGTCTCCCACCTTAATTGGTTATTCAGATGCAGGTTACAGGTCTGATCCCCACACCGAGAAATCACAAACCGGATTTGTGTTTACATTCGGTGGTACGGCCATCTCCTGGAGGTCTGTCAAGCAAACCACTGTAGCAATCTCATCCAACCATTCCGAACTCCTCGCGATCCATGAAACCAGCAAAGAATGTGTTTGGCTTCGTTCTGTCATTCAGCACATCTTAGTGTCTACCGGCCTGAAGACTGGTGACCTTGAGCCAACTACTATATTTGAAGACAATGCAGCCTGCGTTGCTCAACTTCAGTCTGGCTTCATCAAGGGTGACAAGACGAAGCACATATCTCCCAAGTTTTTCTGGACGCACGATCTTCAAGAGGAGGAGCAGGTTAAAGTACAGCAGATCCAATCATGTAATAATTTAGCTGACTTGTTCACTAAGGCTCTGCCTAGATGTACTTTTGTAAAACTTGTAAAAGGAATAGGGATGAGACATCTGAAAGACCTACAAGCCTGAAGCTTGTATGGTTCAGGGGGAGTAACCTATGGGTTGTACTCTTTTTCCTTAGGCTGATGGTTTTTTCCCACTGGGTTTTCCACAGCTAAGGTTTTAACGAGGCAAACAAGTTTACTCTGGATCCAGAAGTATCCACCCCATTAGCTTTACGAACCCTGAAGTGTTCATAAGCTAAACCCAAGGTAATGGATGGATAAGGGGGAGTATTATGAGATGAGGGAGGCCTTTGGCCTCCCCCTCATTATCCCTCCATTCACACCCCATTATGGTGGTGTAACACCACACTAAGTGGGGGTGACTCTTGGGTACTCAACATATTCACATTGACTAGTATAAATATATATCATAGGCCTTTGGCCTATGGATGTGTTTCAAACAAAAATAAATTTTTTGGTTTTTTTCTAAATATTAGTCTTCCCTCAAATCTTCACAATACCATATTAGTCCCTCAATATCTTTGAAATTTCTCATAAGTCCTTCAAACACTAAGGGACCTTACAAATTGGTCCCTCAATGACCAAACCCTCAGCTTGTGTTCCCCCAAAAACCTCAGTACTCATAAAAACATATGCTGAGCAGTATTCCCCTTGCCTATTTACAAAGAAGAAGAATTTAATGATCTGCATTTTTTAAATCAAAATCTCCATCAAAATGAATGCTTTTATCATTATAAGATCATATCAAAAATCATTTGAAATTATTGAGTTCACAAAACTAGATATCTCCTGTGCTTTTTAGGAACAACAACAATATCAACAAATATCCCACAAGTATCCTGAAAAAAATCAAAAAAGAAAAAAAAATGAAACTTGTAGGTACAAAAATTTGTAACAGCTTAGAATCTTACTTCTAAGCTATCTAGGTTGAAACATGGAAACACTTATTTCATTCAAAGTACATGAATCTTGATTGCTTGACGATGTATCTACTTCGAAAGGGCCTCTTCTTGCAGCAAATCCCGGCTGTTTAGGCTGCGGCAATGATGCAAGATCACTACCAAGCATTAGCACCACAGATGACATCAATGGCCTATCTTCTGGATGTTCTTGGACACATAATAACCCGAGTTTTATGCATCTTAGGGCTTCGTTCGTTGGAAATGAGTAACCCATTGACTCGTCTACTAGTTGCAAGCTCTTACCCTCTTTCCATAAACTCCATGCCTGTTCAAAAATCAGAATTATTTCAGGTCCCGATTAAAAAAATTAACCTGAGGGCTTATGCATCAACGAAACAAGAGGGGTAGTAAGGTCAAAACAAGGATACTAATGGGGTGTATGTGCAATTAACCCAAAATTAAACACTTACATGTGCAACAAGGTTTATATGAGGGGGTATGGCATACACTCCTCTGTTCTTTTTACCACTTATGATTTCGAGTACTAGAACGCCAAAGCTGAATACATCGGACTTCACTGAAAAGATCCCGTCCATTGCATACTCAGGAGACATATATCCACTGTATTTTGACACGTGAGAAGATAATTGTCTACGTCCCGACAACTTTTCTGGTATTAAAATCTGTCTCATCACCACCAAAGATTCTGGCCATGCCAAAGTCTGAAATCTTTGGGTTCATGTCTTCATCCAGAAGAATATTGCTAGCTTTGAGATCTCTATGAATGATCCGAAATCTTGAATCTTGGTGAAGGTAGAGAAGTCCACGAGCAATCCCCACAATGATCTGATGTCGCATTTTCCAATCTAATAATGCTGCTCTTTCTTTCTCTGCAAGTAAAATTTGAAAATGGTAATTCTACAGGAACAGCAGAAGATACATGCTTCTCCATAGGTTACTATTACATTGAAGCTTTCAGGACTTAAATAAATGGAGAACACCGAACACCTTTAAAATGTACAAAAATCTTTTCCAGGATATTCAGGAAAGTTCAATCAAAGAAATTTGGGAACACAAATTTGTAGACTGAAATAAAAGAAATTAGTTGGTTTTATCATCATCCTAACCGTAATAAAGTTATAATTAACATCATGTTGATTTATCGAATGAGAAATCATCAAATGACAAGCAAACAATGAATTATGAAAATTCTAAAACTCTAGATTGTGAAAGTGCATAATCGTGACAGATGATTGATCATAATATAATGATAAATGATAGAGTCCTCCCCTCAAAATCCTACTGGGTAAAAGTATTGCAGCAACATATCATAGTATATCTCTATCTTTAATGTAATGAAAGAGACGAGAAAATACCAAACAGGAAGGCATCCAAGCTTCTGTTAGGCATGTATTCGTATATCAGCATCCTTTCCTCTCCCTGAATACAGCAACCAAGAAGCCTGACAAGGTTTCTGTGCTGAAGTTTGGCAATAAGAACGATCTCGTTTTTGAACTCTTCAAGGCCTTGTATTGATGTCTTGGCAAGTCTTTTAACAGCTATCTCCTGATTGTCTTCAAGTGTTCCCTAAAATTTGATAAACATTTATTTAAGTATTGTCCTTATGAATTATATTGCCAGTTTAAACCGTCATTACTGCAATGCTGATATCATGCTAATTTAATTACAGTAACAATACACTTATACAGTTCCATTGTGCTTTAAAAAAGTTAAAACAACGTTACTCTAAAAATTAAGTTAAACAGGGATGCTAAAATTTCATTATTCATAATCTTTTATAAGTATCTTTTCAGGGGTTTCTGATCAAAGTTATGTGGGGCAATGGTTAACGTGTACAATCAAAAAAAGATGTTTACCTTGTACACTGGTCCAAAACCACCCTCTCCAAGTTTATTTTCATCTGAGAAGTAGTCTATAGAAGCAGCAATGGTAGCAAAATCAAATATAGGAAGATCCAGATCTCCTGGTTCATGATTTGACTTTTCATTGAAGGAAGTCATTGCACCTAATAGAACTGGAAAAAAAAAGAAAAAAAAGACTTGAGATATAAATCCCTATCAAATATTATTTTTTGGATATCAGTCCTTACAACTCAGTGTTTGGATATGAGTCCTTGAACAATATGAGTAATACTTCTAAAGATTCCCCCTACTCAGTTATCATCCAAATCTAAGAAAACATACTATCAAAGGATAACATAGAAAGAGAACCAACAAATTTATTTTCATTTAAACTAATAAGACTTTGAAATTTGATGTAGGATCCTTGACGGACAATTTCATGGAGGATTAGGAGAATTACGAGCTACACGTATTATTGACTTCCGCAAAGAAACAATCATATTTTTTAATCCGGAAGACAAATTCTGACATATTATATATGTAAATCGCCTATCTCGATGAGACGGAGCTAACCATATTGTCAGATTTTTAATTTATCATCAGTAATACCTAGTTTTGGCTGAAATTTAAAAATAATCAGGCTTTAGTTTATTTAGTAATAAAGTTGGAGTCTATTTAGATTAGAAAATAAATTCAATTTTAGAGTCAAATTAGATTAGGAAACAAATTCAAGTTTGATTCATGATTTGTTTCCTTTATTATAGGGAGTCTTTTTAGAATAAAATTTGTTACTTTTTATTTTTTTGTAATTCTAGTCTTACTATAAGTCTTATTTGTTTTTCTATTTAAGAAGAGGCATGTAACCCCAAAGGAAAAATAACTTGTTTTATCAATAAAATTTCTCTTTCAATATTTTATTCGTGGATTCGGAGATTGTTCTTTGTGGATTCAAAGAACGTCCCCTTGGTGGATTCCGAGGTTTTACTTCCGTGCTGCGTCAAAATTGGTCTTAAAACCATGAGAAAAGTCATAGCAAGTCTTAGTTTCCCTCCTCTTTCTTGAAAGAGTGAATAAATCACTAGTTATTTTTCAAAATAAGGTTATTGAGAGGTATATTAATCATTGTATACATAATGGTATCATCTTACATTTCTTTACATACTTTTCATTCCAGACTTTTCCTTTTTAAGTAAATTTGTAGAAAAACTCTATTTTTGTACGACCTTCAATATACTGCTACACAGATGACATATGCTCGTGTCCTTGGTCACCCCTCAAAGATGAAATGTAGACAAAAAAGGACAGGCAAAAAGGGAAAAAATTATGAATTTTAAGAGAAATAATAAACAGGTCCATAATTGGATATGAGTGAAGGACATGAAATTTAAGAGCTTAGAGTTTATTAACAACTCAAGTTAAGACTAAATTGAGATTAGGATATATTCATATTAAGAGACAAGACTCATTTCCTATGAACCTCACATTGTTAAGGACTTGTATCCAAAAATGAACTTATAAAAAAACTAATCAATATCCTAAAAACAAAGAAAATATCAAATTATATTTGTGTTTCAATCAATGTATTTTATATAATATAATCGAATCACAAGAATGTAGCCAATTTAATTCACCTCTTCGTTTTTTCTTCCTTCTCCAAAGGAAACAACCAACACAAGTTAGTAGCAATGCTGCAGCAACAAGGCTCACCGCGACCGCAACTATTGTGCTCTGAGTTTTGCCAGATGACACATCTGAAACACGTCCACATCATCATCACCTTGTGAACATATATCTTCAAAGTTCTTTCGTTAAAGACTACAATATGAGTTATGATTGATCAACATACCAAACAATCTGGATGCCTATGCTTTGTTCTATAGCAAATAAAAAAACATGCGAGATATTGTGATGATGTGTACATGGGTGTGGATGAAGAAAATTTGGTCCATGTTCATTGTTTGATTGATCAATGTTGATATATGAGAGGACATGATAAAGAGATTATTGTATAGTTAAACCTTGTGCTAGAAGTTGGTTCTGTTAGGTAATTAAAAGCAAGGGGTCAAACTGACCAACTATTTTTAGGTAATTAAAAAGACATGGCGGAAGCTTCAGGTTCAAAAAAAGAACAATGAAGATGGGTCATAGAAGGTAGGCAACTTTGAAAAGTAATCCAAATTGAAAGCAACCTATAACAACTATCCTAGCTGAATGTGGTCTTGTTTTTGACCTACCAATGTGAAGGGAAATTCACCTAGACAACTACAGTTCAAACTCCTCAATAATATTTTATGTGTGGCTAGATATGGACTGGGCAGACTAAGTCATTAATGCAACTTCTACATAATTATTGAACAGACATACAGATATCAGTCATCCAACTTTACAGTTCATAAAATTAAAACTAGAAACTGAATTAGAAAAAAACTACGTACCAAGATCAGCAGCAGCCAGCCGTACATACAAATCCTGTCCTGACCCAACAAAGTTCCTTATATCAAACAGATTACCGATCCAAATAATGCACCCGCTCCCTCCCCCGCTCACGTTGGCGCTCGCATACGCCGTACACGAGCAATTCCCCAAACACAAGCGCCTACACTGATCCAAATTCAAATTCATGTCCACAGTACAGTTATCGGATTGTGGCAGCTTCACATTGCTCACCGTTACAAATCCGTCCGTCCCGTTCTTGCAATCCAACGGCGTCCTTCTCTTGCACCCATCATGCCCGTCCCTCAAATTCCAATTTGAAGGATTCTTGGGATCAAAACCCTGTAAACAACTGCATAATGGCGAATCATTCGCATCACATAGCCCGTAAGGACCGCATTGCCCTATATCATCGCACAAATCCTTCGGCGCATTCCAGAAAAAGTTCCATTGATTAGCGTCCGGTAACCACAGCGCGCGCTGAGCAAAACCTGTTGAGTTAACTAGCAGCCTTGATATATATGACCGATTAATAACACTGTAAAAGTACACAACTTCTGAAGCGTTATTCACGAAATTGAACTGAAAGCCTCTGTAAGTGCTCATATCCGGTATCCCACTTAAGTGTGTACCATCCCAAGCGCCGCTTCGCCAAATTGGGGTGGAATCTCGACAGAAATAGATATCAGGATCGCCTCTGATGTCCATGAAACCATGGTAAGGTCCCGGCGAGGGATCATTTTCGCTAGCCCATGCTACAAGTGTGCGATTGATCCCAGTGGTCAGGTCGACGCCCAGTTTCATACCGGGGATCAATGTGTCGGTCAAGTAGTTGAACCCTTGCCATCCGTAATTGCCACTGGTGTCTCCGTCCTGCATTACAACGAGATTTCCATTCTCAAGAAGCTGCGCTATCGGACTGGTTAACTCCACCGTCGAGTTTGGACTGGTCCAGACGACTGTCGAGTTCTGACTCGTGATTGTGAGCCTGCCGTCCTTGGTTACTGACAAGACTCCGGTCGAGTTGACGAGGGGGCTTGCACGGTTGGCGACCCAGAGTATGGTGTGGTCGGATATCTGGTTGTACCATAGACCGATATATCGGTTGTCTGAATTTGGCGGATTGAAGAAGCCCAAAGCGAAGGTTCCGGTGGCCGAGACTAGGGTTTCGTTGTCGGCGAGGGGATTGCTCGGGGTTATGGTGTCTCTGGCAGTGGAGAAGGATAAGAGGAGGAGGAGAAGGAAGAGGAGGAGCACAATTGGCTCCATTTATTTTTTTCCCCCCTTCTGGTTTCCCTTCAAACAAGCTTAGCTAGTAACAAACTTTTGTCTTAAAACATATAATGTTGCTGGCACTTTAGGATGTGCTGTTGCACGAGGACAAACTGGGCCATTCACTGAGAGAGCATGTAACGCATGGGGTCGGTAGCGACCCACAAGAGTCATAAATGATAATGATTATTCCATCAAGTATTGGGATTGTTTTTTCAAAGTAGAAGATTCGGTGGTTGGGATATGAAGGAAAAAATGGACAAAGACGTGTGCAACTTTTCCCAGTTTTTTCAAAGACTGAAAATGGTGCCTAAAAATAGTTGCACATATGGAATTAAAAACAGTCAATTTTGATCAATTGTTTTGTCAAAGTTCTATATATGTCATATTTAAAGAATTTTATAATCTTACCGAAAGACTAATAGATAAGAGGGATGATGAGGAGCCATTGGACATATCCTGCTTTTTCCTTTTCTTCTAGAGCGAAAAAAAAAGTCTGAAGTAAATGGTTAAAATGTCCAATAAGCGAGAGCACTCCAAGTTGATAATTACGTCAAGGAGTACTCCACCAGATAAAAGCTGCGATTAAACTAATGAAGGGGTTACATGAGACCCAGACTGTTTCTTGGTGAGATCTCAGACTTTTCCCCACTTTCCCCCATTCTTTTTAATATTATTACTGACGAAGAACTGAATTTTCAGATATACGTCTGAACTAGTTTGTTACGTAGTTAGTTTAGGTTAATTTATCCTGTTTCTAGACTTTATTGTTGAGTACAAGTCAAGCCATTAAAAATTTGTTTAATCACATCGTCTGCAAGTTTATCTCTAACCATTAGAGTTTTATATTAATTCTAACAATGCCCTACAAGTGGATTAGAAAATCCGCTTAAAATTCGTGGTTGATGGGATTTGAACTTGGTTTGTTCTGATACCGTCTAAAATTTAGTCCCTCTAACCATTACACCAAAACTCCAAAGTTAAAGTGAGGGTTGAGTATTATAGTTTTATATTCATTTTAACAAACTTTAGTATGAAACCATACTCATAACCATGTCCAGCCTGTTTTCTGGAATGTCCAACACTAATTTGTCCAATTTAGATAACAAATTGAAATTTGATTTAGCACTTCTTGTATTTCTCTTTTGAGGGGAAAAGTTCACTTTATGCACCTTTCCTGATTCAGGCCTGGGTTTTCTTCTTTGTTAATTCTTCAAAATAAAAATTCATACCTCGGCACTGCACAAATCAAGGACTGCTTTGCAAAAAGTTGTCCTCAAAAAAAGGATTGTTCATTGGAAAATGAAAAGTATTTAGTGAAAAAGCAATACGCAAAGCATTGATCTACTTTGTTTTGTCGTGCAGTTGGGGATAACTGGGGCTCATTATGGATGACTTTTTTTAATGGCATTTCTTATTCTCCTCTACAGGTGGATGGTAGAATTTGCATTTTTTTGTTAAGACGCAGCTTAAAAGAAACAATTAAGGGGCATATTGCTGTCAAAACAGGGATATAAAATATAAAAACAAATTAAAGAGTTAGAAAATTCAGGCCTGATTGGGAGCAGTCGTGATATCACTGCCCTAGAAGATTAAGGACTCGCCTATCGCCCTGACGCAATTTGTCCTCTCTCCCCTAGCGGTAAAAACCCCCGGAATCGGCCGGCCTCTGCACTCGGGCGTGAGTCACAGAGCTTATGCTCAGACAAAAACGGTTGCCCAGCAAATAGAAATATAAAAATGTAGCCGAAATCTCTTGGAGGTATGAGAGTAGAGAAGAGAAGAGAGTTTAGAAGATTTACTCTTCGTTGGTGTGTTTCTGAATGAGCTCCAAGCCTCCTTTTATAGGTGATGAAAGGTGTAACCCCCACCCGCATGCAGCCGTTACAGAACGTGTAAAACGTGCAAAAATAAAAGCTTGAGAAGCAAAAAGGTGTGTGTGTGCGGCTGCGGCGTGGCGTGCGTGCGCGCGCGCGCGTGTGGTAGAAATGCAAAGCCCACAAAACCCAAAATACTATTCAAAGCCCAATAAGGAGAGATGTCACGCCCCGCTTCCCAAAATACACGGGAACCGGAACGTGAACAAGCCCGCGACGTATTAGGTTGAGTAGAAATAAATAATAAAACTCTTTCTACCCAACCTAATACGCTAAGCGTCTGGAAATAAATATAATACGAAGTCACAGGTCCCCGATCACACATAGCAAGAATATAAAGACAACCCAGAATAAGAAATAAACATATCATCAATGGTAAATCATCCCAGACATAAAAATATGGGTCAAACACGCCCTTATTACAAAAACGGTTCAACTAGGAATAAAATACATAGTCCATAAAGAAAGTACTGTTAAAATAATAAATCCGTCATCAACTAGAGAAAAGTACGGTAAAAATGTTTTAATGTTCATCAGCTACTACAGAGAAAACTACTGCGCTTAGCTTATTCTTCTACTCCACCTGCAAGGCACTCCTACTGAGAATCCTCTGGCTCCTGCACTATCCCGAACTGAGGCTGCTCATCTCCTAAATCTGACGTACATCCAGAAAATAGGAGTACGTCAGCGTGTGGAACACACGGCAAGATCCCCCAAGGCAGAAACAAATACAACAACGATAATGATAATATATGCGTGGTCAATGTGATAACAGAAATAAAAATAGAACATGTGATGATAGAATAACAATAGAGGCTGCAACTGGAATACTAATAATCCGACGAATCCATAAATCAAACAAGTAACAAGATCATGCAGATAGCGATCAGAAACCATCCAAGCAACAAGATCATACAATAGATAGAATTAATATTTAAAAATCTACAACAAGAGACGTAGTACGTCGAGCGAAATAATCCAAACAAGGAAACCCTCATGTATATACCATATGTCTCAAATTGTAGATAATTAAATATTAACCCTAATCTATGTATGGAAAGAACACAACTAGCCATCCTACCACAACTCACTAGTTCACATCTCACTAGAATCAAGGTTCATATTCTCGGATAATCGATTGTTCACCAAATCATTTACGTATAACTTTTCACTACCCCCTCAGACCCACGCCAGCGCTACACAGGAATATCGCTGGTGCGAGCCTGGAAATAATCAATAATCACAATATCATATCACCTCAGACCCACCCCAACGCTACACAGGAATTTCGTTGGTGCGAGCCTAGAATAATCAACAATCACATCCGATCACTTAAACCAGGAATTCCTCATCTCAATTCTTCTCGCTTTTCTAATGTCAACAAACACAGGTATCTAGATCCTATACACGACACGTTAGGCCACTAAGAACATGAACTACTAACGGTCATCAACAAAACAAGAAATAATAAATAAACATAACTATTTTATGCAAATCATATGATGAACATGACTATATAGACTAGCGATGAATCAGGTATGCATATGTGACAGTGAAAGAGTATAAATAAGAGTGTCAACATGTCGGTGTCAAAGTACATGAAATGTTGTGTTCTTCAACTATCAATCACACGGTCATAAAAATAATCCTTTTCCAAAATGACTTCCTTAAAACATTTATCATTCTAAAATAATTTCCTTCCGCAACATAAATTCTAAAATATTATAATTATTCTAAAATAACCCCGTCATCAAAATAAATTCTTTAATCTATTATATTTATCTTGAAAATACTATTTATCACATAATTAAAATTTATTTAATATTATTCATCACATCCACACAGATAATTTACCACAAATTAACATAACAGATAATTCATATTTTACAGAAAAATAGTTCTGAGCAAGCGGGATCTTGCCTGCGAGGCCAATGGGGCCTGTCGACGCAGTATGAAACCACTACTTCATAACCATGATCCAGCCTGTTTACTGCGAATGTCCAACACTAATTGTCCAATTTAGATAAACAAATGAATTTCGATTTAAGCACTTCTTGTATTTCTCTTTTGAGGGCGAAAAGCCTTCTACTTTATGCACCTTTCGCTGATTCGGCCTGGGTTTTCTTCTTTGTTAATTCTTCAAAATAAAAATCATACTCTCGCGCACTGCCACCAAATCACGCGACTGCCCTTTGCAAAAAGTCTCCTTCAAAAAAAGATTGCTTCATTGCGAAAAGAACAGCTATTTTAGTGAAAAAGCAAACGCAAGCATTGATCTACTTTGTTTTGTCGTCCTGCAGTTGGGCGGACACTGGCGGCCTCTCATTATGGATGACTTTTTAATGGATTCTATCTTCTACAGGTGATGGTAGACAATTTTTCGGATTTTTTTTGTTAAGACGCAGCTTAAAAAAACAATCTAAGGCGGCATATGCGTGTCAAAACAGGGATATAAAATATAAAAACAAATTAAAGATGTTAGAAAATTCAGGCCTGATTGGAGCAGATCGTGATATCACTAGTGCCCTAGGAAGTACCAGATTGATTATGGACTGCGGCAGCTAAGCATTAATGCAACTTCTCACATAATTATTGAACAGACATACAGATAATCAGTCATCAACTTTACGCTTCATACAATTAAACTGAAACTGAATTAGAAAAAACTACGTACCAGAGATCAGCAGCAGCCAGCCGTTACATGTGACAATCCGTCCTGACCCTAACAAAGTTCCTTATATCAACAGATACGCGATCAAATAATTGCACCGCTCCCTCTCCGCTCACGTTGGCGCCTCGCAGTTACGCCGTCCGAGCAATTCCCAAACACAACGCCTACACTGATCCATAATTCTATAATTCATGTTCCATCAGTACAGTTATCGGATGTGGCTAGCTCACTTGCCACGTTATCAAAATCCTCCGTTCCGTTTTGCAATCAACGGCGTCACTTCTCTTGAACCTCATGGCCCGTCCCTTCAAATTCAATTGAAGGATTCTTGCGGATCAAAACCCTGTAAACAACTGCCATTAATGGCGAATCATTCGCTCACATAGCCCGTAAGGCGACCGCATGCCGCCCCCCTATATCATCGCACAAATTCCTTTTCGGCTCATTCAGAAAAAAGTTCATTGATTAGCGTCTGGTAACCACAGTCGCCCTGGCTGAGCAAAAGCTGTCCCTGACGTAACTAGCAGCTGACTAATATGACCGATTAATAACACTGAAAAGTACACAACTTTTCGGAAGCGTTATCACGAAATTGAACTGAAAGGCTCTAGTAAGTCTCATTATCCGGTATTCCCACTTTAAGTGGTGTACCATCCAATGCGCCGCCCTTCGCCAAGATATGGGTGGAATCTCGACTAGAAAAATATCAGGAT